CGGGGCGGGCTTGGTGGGGCATCAAAAGGCGCGCGGGGTCTCGGAGGTGGGTGGGTCCGAGCTGGAGGTTGCAGAGCCTGGGTGTCCTAGGAAACGAGCTCCCCCTCAGACCCTCTTCCAGCTGTCTTGACATCTTGGGGTGAACCGTGTTGGGAGGCGTTGTCCTTGACCCACTCTGACCCCGGGGTTCACTGAAGGCTCCCCACTCCTGGGCTCGCAGCCTTCCAGTTCCTTTGCTTCCTGACCCCCTGGTTCCCTCACACAACCCCCGCACTGTCCCCTCCACCCTCCAGCCGGCTCTCCTCCCAGAGCTGATGGCTTCGTTCCGCGCCCTCCCCACGGGCTCCTTCCCGTCAAAGACCCTTCGGTCCCTCCGCCCATTGCCCTGCTCTTCCCTCAGAGTCCCCCTTTTCCTTCGTAGTCGCTTGCACCTCCTTACACAGCCTCAGGTCTAACCTCAACCACCGCCTGGTCGCACCCCGGCCTTCTCCTCAGGCCCCCACCCGTCCTCTCCCCTGGGGGCCCCCTGCTCCCCACGCAGCCTCTGACGCCGAACCCCTCCGCAGTTCCTCTCACCATCCGCTGCTTCCTGGGCTGCGAGCTGCCTCCCGAGGACTCTGAGGGCTCCAAAGCCCGCGTCTTCTTCGAAGTGGCTGTGAACGGGAGCTCCTTCGTGAGTTTCCGGCCGGAGGATGCCCAGTGGGTGCAGGGACCCCAGCCGCTCTCCACGCTGGTCGCTTTTACACTGAAGCAGCTCAACAGCTACAATCGTACTCGGTACGAAATGCGGGAGTTTCTGCAGGACACCTGTGTGCAGTACGTGCAGAAACACATGGTCATGAAGAACTTCAAAGGTACCAGGGTCTTGGGCAGCGCCTGTGTTAGGGAGGGGGCGGGTTCCAGGCAAAAGGACGGACCTGGAGGATGTGAACTGCAAGGGCCAGGAGCGGGAGCAGGGGCAGAGCACACGTAGCTAAGTCACTGGGGAGAGTGGTCGCTGTCCTTTGGGGAGAGAAATCCCTGGGGGTTTGACTCAAACCGCGGACTCTGGTGAGATTCCTAAGCTGACTCTCTGCGTGTTCTGCAGGGAGCCAAACAGGCCGCTCCTACACTTCACTGGTCCTGGGCATCCTGGTGGGCAGTTTTGTCATCGCTGGTGTGGCTGTGGGCATCTTCCTGTACACGGGTGGACGGCGATGTTAATTACTCTCCTGCTCGCTCTGAGAAAGGTCTGGGTTGACCAGAGCTGGCAAGGAAAGAAAGGTCTCAGCTGATACGAAGCCGGACAGATGCTCCAATTGGGACACCATATCCCAGAAAGTTTGAAGTGACAGCTTCTTTTTTTTTCTCCCAAATCTGCCCACCAAGGGGCTGGGAAGAGAATGTGGGGAGACTTGGTCATTGGTTTGCTAAGAACCTAACAACTTCCATGCTTTGCCAAATTGGTCTGGGAAGTGTTTATGTATCTTCATGGAAAACAGATGAAGGAGTTGGGGCAAGGGTGTCTATGGCCCATCCTCCAAAGACAGAATCACCTGAGCCGCTAACAACACATGAAGAAGTAAAACAAATTGTCCACTATCCAAATAAACAACAGGCTAGGCGTGGAGGTGCATGCCTGTAATCCCAGCACTCGGGAGGCTGAGGCAGGAGAATCGTTGCAAATTCGAGACCAACCTCGGCCATAAAATGAGCTCAAGGCCATCCTGAACTGCATAGTGAGATCTTGTCTCAAAAAGACAATAAATAAATAAATAAATAAATAAATAAATAAATAAACAACAGTCAGTGCTTCCAGGTGTGTCCAACTTGAGAAAGGACACTGGCATAAAAGAGGTAGAAAAAGGTAATCAGAAGGATGGTGTAAAGAAAAAATCCAAGAAATATGGAAACAATGAGTTATTAATTATTTAATAAATTAATATTAATAAATGTATTACTTATGCATATTGCATAATTGTTTATTTTACAAAGCTTCTGGAAAAGTAGTCTATACCCTCTGCCTCTTCTTTCTCCTCTCCCACACACTTTTTTTTTTTTTTGAGACAGTGTCTCATTATGTAGTTCACGCTGGCCTTGAACTCACTATGTAGACCAGGGTGGCCTCCAACTCTCAGTGATCCTCCTGCCTCAGCCTCCCCCGGGCTGGGATTACAGGTTTGTACCACCATGTTCAGCTCCCACTGACTCCTAAGTTCACTGCAGTCTGGTTTCTCTCTATATAAACTGCTCTGCCATCACCAGTACCCGGTAATTGTCAAACTTTTTTCTCCATGATATCTGCAGACTTCTGTTTTACCTAACTTTAGAGATACTATACTTCTAATTCATAAAAATTATTCTGGGTACTATTTTTCAATACTTTGACTACAAGGTATAATTAAAGAAATACAGCAAATGTTTCAATAAAAAATTTATTATAGTAAAAGACATTGCCATTAATGCCCCTTAAACTATGCCCTTCACGTCAAACACAGCTATCTTATCATTCTGGCCACTTTCTGAAGCAGATTGGGAAGGCTTATTTCATGTCTTTAATTGTGTTCTCAAGGCTACCTCAATGTCCCAAATCAATCAAAATGCTTACCTTTTGTGGTGATTTTGACTTTGCGGAAGAGCCAGAAGTAACAGGATGTCATATTTAGTGAATAAAGTGGATGAAGGCACATCGTAATGCTTTTACAAGCCTACTTTTCAGTTTGATGGCACCTGGGAAACATACTCACTATATTTTTGATCACATGTGATAAAGACACTCACAAAAGAGGACATCCAGAACTGCTTCCGACAATTGTGTTCAAAGTGAGGGAGAGTATATTGAGGGGTATTAATGGTGATTTTTTTTTACTATAATTTTTTTCCTTTGAACACATACGACTTTTTTTTTTTTTTTTTTCCTTTTGAGATAGGGTCTTGCTATGCAGTTCAGGCTGGCTTGAACTCACTGTGTAGCTCAGGCTGGCCTCCCTCAAAGCAATCCTTTTGGCTCAGCCTCCAGCGTTCTGGGATTACAGGTGAGCACCACCATGCCTGACCAAGATGTCATTTTTTGACTTCTCTTGTTCCCCTTAAAACTATACTATTTCAGCCGACTGTAGGTGGTGCACACCTGTAATCCCAGCACTTGGGAGGCTGAGGCAGGAGGATTGCTTTGAATTCAAGGTTAGCCTGGGCTACCTGATGTGGTCAAGGCCAGCCTGAACTGCATAGCAAGACCCTGTCTCAAACTATAAACTACACTATTTCTGAGTGACCTACTGATTTCCGTGACTTCAAATGCATTCTATCTGTGGTGGTTTCTGTAGAGAAACACTACTACTTTAAGAGCACATGTTTTGTCATCAAACTTGAGTTTTATTTCTTTGAGCGAAGCACTTCTTCAAGTCTCATTTTCTTCATTCACAAAGCTATAATAAAATATACAGAAGGGGTATAGGAAAATACCTACCTTACAGAGGCATTAGAGTATGAGATAAAATAATATATGCAGAGTGGATAAGTACAGCAGCGGCTGCGGACCTCCACACCTTCCACTGGTCCCAATCCTTGAAAAATCATCTGCACTCTAATACTTTGCAGACATTTCAGGGTAACATATTCAAAATTAAATGTATTATCTTTTCAAATTATATTTCTCCCCAGTCATGTTCTCTCTTCTGATGTCTACTGTCTGTTCATAGATAAGAGAATTACCACCAGGTCATATAAACACAGAGGCCTCCGCGTCAACTTTACTCCCTCTTTTATCCTTGCCTACAAGAGACCATATCCGCAGACCCCATTCCCTCCTTGCCACCCCCTTACCTCTGTTCAGGGTATCATGACGTCTCTTTCCCTGTGGTGGACACAGAGGTGCCGCCCAGCTCAGCCTCCTGCTCACCTTCAGGGAGTACAGACAGCAGCCAGCCTCCAGCTGTCTGCTCTGCTGCAGGGAACAAGTCCTGCACAGGTCATGCCCATCCAGGCTTTTTGCCATGCTTGGAAGCAATTCTGGACATCCTCTTACCTGAGTGTCCTTACCCGGTGTGATCAGAAATATAATGACTGCTGCTCCTAAGTGCCATCCACCGGAAAGGCAGGCTCCTAGAAGCAATATGTTTCACTGCATGTGACATCGTGTCACTTGCGGTGACTGAGCAAGGCCATTGCAGTCAGCACGACAGTAGGACAACTCCAATGAGCACTATTCACTCTGGAATTCCCCACCAGTGGCTGGAGCTTTGTCAGAGCTATAATGGAGTTTGACTTTCCCCTTAAACTCAATCTTGCTTCCTATCCCTTGCAAATATCTTGTGCCTTAGACTCTATCTCAGCATCTGCTTCCAAAAAACTCAACATGTACCCATGTGTGGTGGTATACAACTGTAATCTCAGCACTCTGGGAGGCTGAGGCAGAAAGATTGCCAAGTTCAAGCCCCATCAGGGCAATTTAGCAATTTAGCAAGACTCTGTCAAGCCGGGCATGGTGGCGCGCGCCTGTAATCCCAGCACTCAGAAGGCTGAGGCAGAAGGATCATTGGGAGTTCGAGACCAGCCAGGGCTACAAAGTGAGCTCAAGGCCAGCCTGAACTGCATAGTGAGACCTTGTCTCAAAAAGACAAAAAAAGTCTGTCTCAAGATTAAAAAAAAATTTAAAAAGGGATGAGAAGGCTCAGTGTGAAAACCTTGAGTTCAATCCCCAGCACCACAAAAACATAAAAATCACCCCCCCTCTCTCTCTCTGTGTGTGTGTGTGTGTGTGTGTGTGTGTGTGTGTGTGTCTCCCTTTCTGTTAACAATTGAGAAATTTTCTGTCTTTTATCTGGACTATGGCAATAGCCTCCTCCTAAGTTTTCTCCTTGTTTCTAATTTCTACATGTTCTAATTGGTCTTTCACATAGCAGTAGGACACAGAAATGAGGCCAGGCCTGGTAGCACACACCTGTAATCCAGCATTCTGGGAGGCTAAGGCAGGAACATGGCAAGTTTGAGCCCAACCTGGGCAATTTAGGGAGACCCTGTCTCAACATAAAAATAAAAAGGGAGCCAGGTGTGGTGGTGCTGCCTGTAATCTCCGCACTTTGAGAGTCTAAGGCAGGAAGGTCACAAGTTTAAACCCAGCCTGGATAACTTAGTGGGGCACTGTCTCAAAATACAAGCTTTAAAAAGGATTAGAGATATAGTTCAGTGTGAAGAAGTCCTTCGGTTCAATCCCAAGTAGCAAATTTCTCATACTTACCAAGTTAAATTCAAAGTCCTAAAAATGACGTTCAAAGCTGTATACAATGTGGCCGAAATCCGTTGCCTCATTTTATTTTCTACCATTTATCTTTACCCAGATGTACTCTAGATTACTTATTGGAAAAGCATATTTTAAAATAACAGAACTAGTAACACAACAGTAACAACACAGAATCTACAAACAAAAAAAGGTCCCCGTTTTCTCTTTCTCCCTAAATTTTCATCCCGGCCGTATGCCAGGATTCTTAGTTGTAAGCAACAGAAAGCTACTCTGCAAACTTAAGAGCAAAATATATTGGGAGGTTATCAAATAATCCTGAGTTGATGGGAAGGTCAATTAATCAAACTCAGCAAGTAGAACCCAGGACCACAGTCACAGCCCTGCCACAAGGATGGTCTCGCATGGGCGCAGTGGTGCATGCCTGTCCTCCCAGCAGCCAGGAGACTGAGGCAAAAGGATCGCGTGAGTTCAAGGCCAGCCTGGACTACATAGCAAGATTGTCTCAAAACACAAAAACAAGGAAAAAAGCATGATCTAGTTAAGGATAACACAGCCAAGAACTCCTGCCTCCATCACCCGTGTCTGCTGTCATCTTCACGAGTTCTCCTCTGTCCCCTGTGCCTTCATATCATTAATCAAGGTTCACAGCTCTGGGTGGGAGTATCCACATGACCAAGCACAGACATGGATCCTGCTGGCTTTGCCTTAGCAGCAATGTTGGGGCAGGACTTTAGGTACCTTTGGCTTCTCTTGTGGGAAGTAGGACCCTGTCTTCCAGTAAGATTCACACCAAGGAAGAGGCTTTGGGTGCTGAGCAACCAAAAAAACAAAACAAAACAAACGAGAAATGAAATAGAAAAGTAAATGACCCTCAAGTGTTCACTATATTTCACATCATCTATTCATTCAGTAACGTTTACCAGTGAGCTCCACATACACAAGCCTCTGTGCTACAGGCATCTGAAGAAATAAAATGGCTAAGACATGGACCTCAGGGAATCTGGGGTTGGGAAGATAAAACATGTACAGATAAGAATAATACAAGGCAAGATGTCCTAATAGGATATAGGTTACATGGTATAAGATGTCCTGAGCTGGATGTGGTGGTGCACACCTGTAATCCCAACACTCGGGAGGCTGAAACAGGAGGATCACTGCCAGTTCGAGGCCGGCCTGGGCTACACAGTGAGTTCAAGGCCAGTGTAGACCCTGTCTCAAAAC